GAACTTTTTGGAAATAAAAATAGTTGCAAATAAATCCCAAAAACATAAAATTAATTTGTTTTTATGAGTGTAGAATTGAATTATTTTTTATTTCGCCGGCTCTCTCCTTTTCTTATGCTCTCTCCCTCTTGGGGACACTCTCTCTCTCTGGCAATCTCTCATGTTTTCTCTCTCGCTGGTTACAGTGTATTCACCTTCGCCATCTGCAAATTGAAGAAAAGTTTGTTTATTTTTTATTTTAATTTTCTGTTATCTTTCAGCTTTTGCACACAACTTGTTGTTTGTGGGCGACGAGAGTGCCAAAATGAAAAAATGCAAATTCAGTTCGTGACTGTTTTGATATTTATTCATTGAAATTTGTTGACTTGCAAATCGCATGGCACTTTTTCGAATATTCGCCTTTTGTTTTCTTTTTTTATTTGGCGGATTTTTGCTGGTTTTGTTTACATCGTGCGCTTCGCTCGGTTTATTTGTTTTGCTCGTAGTTTTTTGCCAAAAAGCCATAAATTGCTCTCTACTACGTCACAAACACACACACACACACGTGCAATTTGTTGTTGTCGCCACACCTCCAAAAGCCACCAGCAACAACAATAACAATAAAAAAGCATCGTATACTCACCACACTGCAAAACTCGGTTCTCTCTCTTGCGGATTCTGCTCTCTTACTCTCTCGCTCTCAATTGCTCACTCAGGACTTTCGTCCCCTTTTCCCCCCTTTAATCACCCACTTTTCCATTTTTTGCTCTCAAAAGCAGTAATTTTTTTTTGCTTTTTTAGCCGACTTTTCGAATAAGAATTTTACAACTTTAGCAGATTGCAATATTCCTAAAAAGATTTTTCGGATGTTGAATGATCATAAAAGATACAATATGTTTTATTGCTTTAGCTGTTTATTTTAGGGGTTTTTATAAGTTTTGTATTAATTGAAATTATTTTAAATATTTTTTAAAGGTTTCGACATTTTATCGTATCAACTCCTCGTAATTTTGTTAAATTTTATTATTTATCTTTACTATTATAACCAATCCTAAGATTATTTCATATATTTTATTTTTTTTTTAATAAAAAATATAATATATAATACCTTACATTATAGGTTATAATTTATATGTAAAATATCTGACTGTACATATTATTTCGCACATTGTTCAGCCAACCGTATCGAGTATATTTTTCAAGTCTCGCCGGGATCAGTGGAACTGAGGTTCATCAGACTCGCATAACTCACGCGCCACCCACCAACTCCCACCGCCCATAAACCCCCTTTTTCCGCCCACCCCAAATCACCTAGCCAATGTTCAAATTCGCATCCAGCAACCTCGAGAGCAAAACGTTTTCGCCTCAATGCAAACGCTCGGTAAATTGCATCTGCGGCATTTATAATTACCAACATACAAACGCTCGTACATTTGTAATTTATATTCGAATTTTTTTTTCTGTTTTTCTTTTTTTTTTCTACGCATAGAAAGAGATATATACACACGATTCCGTTGGCGCCAGGAAAACGTTTGCCTGAATTACAACAAGGCTGTTGTGTTTTTGTTTTTGGGGGCCAAATGCCGGATCTTCTATAAGGCCAAATAGTCGAAATAATAATCAATAATAATGATGTCCGAGGTTCAATCCCACCCACTAAAGACTTCAACTTAGGGCAAAGAGTTCAGAATGGATCCCTTAATATATCCCTTTCCTCTAAAAGCTAGTAAAATTTAATAAATTCACAACAAGGCAAGCAATTTAAGTTATTTAGACAAAATACACCCATCCCATCAAAATTTTGGGTTCTTAAGTCCTATGCTCGCATGCTTGTTTACATTCCTCAGTGTTTGTTTTTGCACCATGCAAATGGATTGTTGTCATCTTGAAACTTTTTGGCAATGTGCCGATGAGAAGTGAAATGAAATTAAATAAAATTCATTTAAATTCGTGGCATTTTTGATTGGCAAAAGTGCATGCAATTTCCTGCTCAATATCATCAACATAAGCAAATAAATATTTTCAATCCCCCATATTGATGGGTTCTTTTTTCGCTTTTGTTTTTCTTTTTATTTTATTGTGGCTTCGTTTTCATTCTTGATTAAATGAATATTTAAGGGCATTATCTGCTTGAATTATATTTCGTTTTCTCGCCAGCTTCCTGTTTCTATAATAAGATCATGTGCAAATGAGATATGGAATTGTGCAATTTGTTTACATTCTTACACCTAATGGGAAAACAAAGTGCATTCAATTATTTTGATAGAAAGAAGAGAAGTTTAAACTTGAGTGGTCTTATCGGGATCTAAAATTGAACCGAACCCATACTAATACTAATATCAATAGAAATATAGGTGGCGCTCTAGCTGATATTATTTTACGACTTCGATCGAATTAGTCGCAATATCAGTGGGTCGACGAGTACAATGGACAACTCATGCAGATATAGAATAAGTAGAGTAGAGCTCGTGATCTTAGTTAGTCACGGCTGATGCGACTGATGAAATAATGCCGAAACGATCCCCCTCCTGGTACTCCTCGTAAAGTCGAAAGAAACGGAAAGTTACCTCGGTGTACGTGCATTTTCATACTATTTGCACTCCTATCAGCTGGCCTGAATCGCATATAAATACGAAAGTATTAGATTGTATTCTTAGTTTAGCCCGCTTGAATATATTCTTACAATGCCTTACTATACAAATTCAACGCCTGATTAGCGGGTGGGCTCGTAAAACACATGACCACAGAGACGTTAGTTTAATCGGCGACCTTGAGATAGTGATTGGGAAGTGAGATAAAAGACAATTAAACGACGGCGTCCGGAAATTGGGACTTTTAGATAGTGGTACTCGCAGAAATAGAAGTGCAGTTAAATGGCATTGTAAAAGTATTAATTACCTTGCACTTGAAGAACAAAGTCCCGAGCAAAAAACCTTTATAGCATGAAAAATATCCCTAAGTTTCAATAAGAATTCAAGTTTTATACCCTGTGTTGATTACATATCTTAATATTTTATTAATTATTTATTCGATATTACCGAATTGCCACTGTACTTGTTGGATGTTTATTTACCCCATTATGGTATTGCGATTATTATTATATGGTGATTTATATCCGTGCAATATCTATTGAAGAATTTCGCTTATATTGCCAAATGAGCGATAAGCATGCATGCATATATGCATTGTAAGTTTATCGGTTATCGCACTGACTATCGTAATTACCGTTAACGCCCACCTGACGTCATCTGCCGAGATAATGAGATAGTGAAACCGATGTTACTGTTACTCATTATTACTGGATTCTCTGGATCTCCCTTCAATAGCATCATAAATATTGCGCACAGAAACGAACCCTGTTTGTATGTATGTTCCATAAGTACGTATGTACATATGTAGGTCTTTTATATGCAAGTAGATAAGCTGCATAATAAACCGCATTACGAGTGGGTTGCGAATTGTGGACCTGTGGGTGGTGGGTTCCATTGGACAGGCGAAAGTTCTTCTAATGCGCAGTGGAATTTGATTTCAGATTTGGATGGTAATCGGTATGAATATGTAAAATGTATGTAGGATGAGTCAGATCTTCTTATTCCGAAACCCTTAATGTTAATTGTTTCTAAGGGTGAAGTTCATTATTCATAGATTTTAGGATCTCTTTCAAGTATGGATCCAAAATTAATCTCAACCTATTAAATATCATCTTTGCTCCCTTAAAGAAAAAAACCATATAAAATCCCCTGAGCTCTCATTTTTCAACCGATTTGCTTGGGTTTCTTGGATATTTCTTTGAAAGCGCCTACGTGTGTGTTGTCACGTCCGCCTTGAACTCACCTCACCCCAACCCCCCACCCACAGACCAGAGAATTCACCACGAGCCGAGTCAAAAGCCGAAGTTTACAAACCCGAGGACTTAATTCTCTTTTTTTCCCAGCTCATCCTTTTTTTTTTTTTGTATGGTGAGTTCGCTCAGTCGCGCTCTCCGATTTCACCTCTGTCCAAAAGTTACTTGTGGAGGCAGGACTCGCTGAACAAAATTGCGAGAACAACTCGAAGAATCTCGAGGATTTCGTACCCAGTACTTGTAAAATCAAGGGGTATATTTGGTTTTCTAAAATTATAATTATAATATTTTTTGTTTTGAAAAACCATCTGATATCTTTTCAATCTCGGGATAAATAAAGATATAAAACTGCTTTTATTATATCATAAATTTGCATTGATATACATATGTTAACCATCTTTTCTATACATAATCTATCAAAAGTTCAATAAATCCCAGGGTATCTTCTAGTCGGGCTACTCTATTTTCTTAAGGACTCCTAGTCACTGAGACGCCTTGACCCACTGCAGGGTCAACGACTGCAGCGCAAAGCTGGACGGGATGTGGGTCACATTTGTAACTGTTAGCCGCCTTTTGGACCCCCGCTGTGCTTCATCGCAAAAGTCCCATGCCAAAAAAGGCTTTTATTCCCTTCCCTTAGTTACGTGTGTCCTACTAAAAAAACAGTGGGACCTTAATATCACGTAAAAATTGTATTGGATCGAAAAAAAAACCTAACTTAAAACTTGGACATTTAAATATTTATTCACCAGGGAACTTCTGAGAATTTTACATTTAAATAGATTTAAAAATTTGGCTAAATTAAAAAAACCCTAACTTAAAACTTTAGATACTTATTTAGATACTTTTTCACCAGGGAACTTTTGAGAATTTTGGGATGGGGCTATAATATCACTTTGCAAGGCCAATGTTATTTAAACTTAATTAAAAATAGTATTACAATAAAATCCTAACTTAAAACTTAAACATTTAACTATAAAACTACCACAAACTTTTGAGAATTTTGTATAGCTAATTACATTTAAATACATTTAAAAATTGTCATGAATTTAAAAAACCCTAACTCAAACCTTGAGCACTTAACTACCATTTCACGATGAAATCTTTACATTTTCGGGATGTGACTCTAATATCCCCTTTGCAAAGCCAACGACTAACCCAAAGTGACCTATTCCAGATTGTGGCCCGGCGACATGACCTCAAGCTGATCGTGACCTCCGCCACGATGGACTCGACCAAGTTTGCGACCTTCTTCGGCAACGTGCCCACGTTCACCATTCCGGGGCGGACCTTTCCCGTCGACGTGATGTTCAGCAAGAACACCTGCGAGGATTACGTGGAGTCGGCGGTGAAGCAGGCGCTGCAGGTCCACCTGACGCCCAACGAGGGCGACATGCTCATCTTCATGCCCGGCCAGGAGGACATCGAGGTGACGTGCGAGGTGCTCGAGGAGCGGCTGGCGGAGATCGAGAATGCGCCCCTGCTGAGCATCCTGCCCATCTACTCGCAGCTGCCCTCGGATCTGCAGGCGAAGATCTTCCAGAAGTCCGGCGACGGGGTGCGCAAGTGCGTGGTGGCCACGAATATAGCGGAAACCTCGCTGACCGTCGACGGGATCATCTATGTAATCGATTCCGGCTACTGCAAGCTGAAGGTCTACAATCCGCGCATCGGCATGGACGCCCTGCAGATCTATCCCATCTCGCAGGCGAACGCCAATCAGCGGAGCGGTCGAGCCGGACGCACTGGACCCGGCCAGGCATTCCGCCTGTACACCCAGCGGCAGTACAAGGACGAGCTGCTGGCCCTCACCGTGCCCGAAATTCAGCGCACCAATCTGGCCAACACGGTGCTGCTGCTCAAGTCACTCGGCGTCGTCGATCTGCTGCAGTTCCACTTCATGGACCCACCGCCGCAGGATAACATCCTCAACTCGCTGTACCAGCTGTGGATCCTGGGCGCCCTCGATCACACCGGCGCCCTCACCACGCTGGGCCGCCAGATGGCCGAGTTCCCGCTCGATCCGCCGCAGTGCCAGATGCTCATCGTCGCCTGTCGCATCGGCTGCAGCGCCGAGGTGCTGATCATAGGTAAAGATGATTTTACTATCTGGTGGAATAATGATTTAGGAATATATTTTGAAAGTTTCACAAAGGAATTTTGAGTAATTTAGAAGTTATACACGTTTAAGGACTGGAAATGTGTTTTTCAAAAAAGTATTACATCGATCATTGTGAAACTTTTACAGAAACGTTTCTAATAATATTACCCACTATATAAACTTACTTTTTATTAACATTTTTAAATGAAAGAATGAAAAAGTAACTTTTGACTTTAATGGATTGTTATTGAGTTCAAATATATTTTATAGGTTTTGATATTTAACTAAAATATTTCTCTATAAAATAAACTCATAATTAAGGAATCTATATAGCGATAGGAATTTTTTGTAAGCTACATAATCTCCCTATAAGCTAAAAAATGATCAAAAAACAAGCAAAATTACCTGTTCTATAAGAATATTTCCCCCTAAGATCTTGAATACTAGTATTGATTCCTTGTTTCCCCTTTTGTAATCCAAAATAGTGTCCATGCTGTCGGTGCCCTCGATTTTCTACCGCCCCAAGGGACGCGAGGAGGAGGCGGATGGCGTGCGCGAGAAGTTCCAGGTGCCCGAGTCGGATCACCTGACCTACCTGAATGTCTACCAGCAGTGGCGCCAGAACAAGTAAGTTACCCAACAATCCCCGCTAGAAATCAAACTAATTCCCTATAATTCCACCCACAGCTACAGTTCGTCGTGGTGCAACGAGCACTTCATCCACATCAAGGCGATGCGCAAGGTGCGCGAGGTGCGGCAGCAGCTGAAGGACATCATGACGCAGCAGAATCTGAGCGTCAAGAGCTGCGGCACCGACTGGGACATTGTGCGCAAGTGCATCTGCTCGGCGTACTTCTACCAGGCGGCGCGACTGAAGGGCATCGGGGAGTATGTGAATCTGCGCACGGGAATGCCCTGCCACCTGCATCCCACGTCTGCTTTGTACGGACTGGGAACCACTCCCGACTACGTGGTCTACCACGAGCTGATCATGACCGCCAAGGAGTACATGCAGTGCGCCACCGCCGTCGATGGCTATTGGCTGGCCGAACTGGGACCCATGTTCTTCTCCGTTAAGGAATCTGGACGCAGCGGGCGCGAGAAGAAGAAACAGGCCGCCGAGCATCTGAAGGAGATGGAGGAGCAGATGCTGAAGGCCCAGCATGAGATGGAGGAGCGCAAGCAGCAGGCGGCCGAGCGAGAGGAGCAGCTGGCCGCCAAGCAGGAGATCGCCACGCCGGGCAATGCCACGCCCCGCCGCACGCCGGCCAGGATGGGCCTTTAAATCTACATTATATTTTAAATTCAACAAGTTTTTGCTATATTTTTTTTGTGTTTTGCTATACCCTTTGTATAATCTACGTATGCTAATAAAGAATCATTGTAAACTGGAGAAGGAGAAGGGGTAATAGGAGTCGCTTTCCCAGGGCGCCACTCTCCACGAAGATGCACCTGTTGTCCTCCAGTCGATGGGTTTCGCTGCAGCTGCATTCGCCGTATTTGCAGACCATTGAGGCAGCTGGAACTGTGAGATTCTCCTGGGAGATTCGCTGCATCCGGCAGTCGCCATCGTGGTGACAGAGGGCGCCAAAGGGCACGATGGGTTGGCAGGTGATGCGCTGCTTCTCCTGCTCCTGATCCTCCTGCTCCTCCTTGGACATTTTAGGATAGTAGGAGGCCCCACAGACGCAGAGATGATCCAGGCAGCGGCCACCCGGGCCCAGGTGAATCTTGCATGGCGAACTGTGCTCGCAGCTCTCGCCGAATCCGGAGCCACCGATGCACTTGGTCATGTTGTGGTTGTGCACAAAGTGCGCCGCACAGCCGCATTTGCCCAACTTCGTGAGGCAAATCGAGGCGCCACAGCTGCCACAGTCCTTGTCCAAGGTGCATTTGGATTCTGAGGAGAGAGGAATTGGGATTTTATTACACAACAAATTTATATATTTAAGTGAATAATGTTTTTTCGATATGATAATTATCAAAATTGGGATGGCACTCATTTACAGGTAAATGATATTATACAATTTTGGAAAATATGCCATATTCTTTTAATATTTCAAGATCTTTAAAAATATGTAAATTCTCTAAAATTTAAATCCGAAATTTACCGGAATTTTATAAAGCATTTGAGATAATGTTTTCTACAAAATAATTTAAATAATTGGATTTTTTATTGGCCTAAGATCGCAGCACATTTAATTTCCTATCTGAACATTTACGTTTTTTTATTAACTTGGCCTCAGATTGATAATTATACCCGTTACTCGTAGAGTAAAAGGGTATATTAGATTCGTGCAAAAGTATGTAACAGGTAGAAGGAAGCGTTTCCGACCCTATAAAGTATATATATTCTTGATCAGGGTCACTAGCCGAGTCGATCTAGCCATGTCCGTCTGTCCGTCTGTCTGTCCGTCTGTCTGTCTGTCTGTCTGTCTGTCCGTATGAACGCTGAGATCTCAGAAACTACACAAGCTAGAAGGTTGAGATTTTCCACACATATTCTTTGGCTTCCTACGCAGCGCAAGTTTATTTTAGCCGAGCGCCACGCCCCCTCTAACGCCCACAATCGCCCACTAACGATTTTAAAATGGGTCCTGCGCCCACATCTTTAAAAATTTCCGAGAAGTATAAATGCAATTTTGTTGTGTATATTTATACCTATCGAAATGTAGATGACATTTTTCAAATCGGACCATTCATTAAAAAGTTATACGCAATCAAAATTTATATATCTATCTCCCTCGCACTCCCTTTAGCTGAGTTACGATTATTAGTCGGGACACCAACCAACAGCGTTCGCACTCCCTTTAGCTGAGTGACGGGTATTAGATAGTCGGGACACCAACCCGACTATAGCGTTCTCTCTTGTTTTAAAATGAGTTAAGCTCGATTCTCGATACTTTAGATGAGTCATCGGCTTCTATGATTATAAAAAATAATCCTTTTTAAGGGTTAAATTTTAATATAATGTTTCTGTGTTATTTGATATCGGGGATCGTAATTATTAGAAGCAATATTAAAAAGATTCTAAGTAATCAATTTTTTTTCGTAAATAAATACAATAAAATTGACAATTAATCATTATTTCTGAACCAAGTCAATTAAAAATCTTAAAATCATAAATTTTAAAAAGTTAATTTCATTATTTCTGAACCAAATCAATTAAGAATCTTAAAATCGTCAATATTAAAAAGTAAATAAAATGAATAGAAAAAATATTCCGATTTTAAAAATAAAAAAATTTTTATTTTCGGTTCCTGATGAATAAATATATTTATCTTTGGACCTTTGACAGAAAGGTAGCCTAATTAATTAATTTCTCGCAGTGTACTCACGCAATACGGCCAGGCAGTGGCCCTTGTGGAGCTCGAAGTTGGCGGGACAGAGGCACTGGCGGGCGGAGCAGGAGCTGAAGCGCTCGGCCAGCTGGCACTGCCGCTGGAACTCGCAGGCGCCGCCCAGCGGGACGACCGCCGGCAGGCAGCGGCGCCGATCCTCGCTGGGCACGAAGCCCTGGGCGCAGAGGCACTGCTGCCACTTCACGTGGCACAGGGCGTCCGGCATGGGACACGGACAGGGGCCGCCGATGATGTTGGTCACCTTCTCCTCCAGTGGCGCACAGGCCACCCGCTCGCCGGAGCCACGTGCCGTGCAGACGCAGGTGAGGTCCACGCAGCGACCCCTTTCGAACTGGGCGCACTGGGCGTCCGAGGTGCAGGACAGCTCCAGCAGGTCCTCCGCCCGGAAAACAGCCGGAAGTCCAGCCAGCAGAATTAGGATCCAGCTGTGCATCGCCTGCATTTCGGTTGATCTTGGGTCGATTCGATGCACGTTGGACGACTGCGCTGGAAATCAAACCGTTACCCGTGGACCGCCAAAAAGCTCGACTCGAAAATGGGATCAGATTAAATCAGTGATGTCATTTTAACCTTTTTTCGAAACCGAACTCTTTCCGAAAAGTGCATTATAATTATAAGTATGTCAGAAAATCATTATTTGCGAACTTTTTAATTTTTAGTTTGAACAAATCCAAAATTTAATTTCTTACCAATTTTCGCATTTTTGATAAGGGATGACATCATGATTTTTTGCAAAAAATTAAAATGTCAAAATTTTAACACAATTCGATTCAGAATTAAGCAACGAGTTCAACGAGGTATAACATTCCAAATTTGGGCAATTATTTCCTTTGTTTCGGCAAAAAAAACTGGTTTTTCATCATCATTTTTGGAAATTTTGAATTTTTTGCAAATTTTTGAATTTTTGATAATGGGTACCATCATAATTTTTTGCTTAAAATATATTTAAATATTTTAGATACATTTTTAAAAATCGATTGCAATTTACCGTTAAAAACACCAAAAAGCTTACTTATCGATGGCCATCAGCTGACTGACAGTCTGGCAGCGTTGCGCCGTTGGTCTGGTCTGGCAACGCTAGCAAAACGCACTAAGAAAAACGCTCAGCTAATTCCAAAAAACCATGTCGTTTGGTAATTTATTAATGAAAAGCGGCCTAAATCCGGGCGTGCGCGGTGCCCAGGCGGGCGTCCTGGTGGCGGCCACCCGGCAAGGACACACGATCCGCGGCAAGGCGCCCGGCGTGGCCAGAACGCTGGAACAGCGGGTGCAAGGTAGGCGGCACATCGTTGATGTAACCATTCCGGTGGTCATTTTTGGGTTTTCTCCTGTTTTTCCCCCTTAGAGGAGACTGCCAGGGATCCCGAGGTGTTGGCCCGCGTTAACATCGGTTTCCCGCAGCTGAGGGATTCCCGCTCGGCGCAGCTGAAGACGCGACTGGAGCATTTGAAGGCGCAGCGGAGCAGCAAGCAACTGGAGCAGCTGGCGAGGAGCAATAAGTGTAGGTTAAAGATCAGGAATCCAGGGGAACAGCGTCTTATCATATGCCCAATGCTTCCCCCCTAGTAATCATCGACCTGGAGCAGGTGCAGCGCACGTATGTCAAGACCACCGGGCAGCACGATCTACGCCTGCTGGCCGATCACTACGGCATCTTCGAGCATCTCTTCGGCAGCGCCTACTTTGTGCCCCGCGTGCCGCTGAGCATTGCCCACCAGCTGGCGGGCGACCGGCTGGCGCCCGTCTACAATGGCAACGTGATCAAGCCGGCGGAGGCCTCCCGGGCGCCGCAGATCAGCTTCGATGGTCGGGTGGATCCCATTACGGGTCAGGAGGCAGCTACTCCTAGCTACTGGACCCTCGTGGCCAGCAATCCCGATGCCCACTACACAAATGGCCAGGCCGAGTGCCTCCATTGGTTCATGTAAGTTGGGTATTTCTTGACTTAATCTTTGACTCATAAGTTATTCGGAAAATAGCACACTCTGTAAAAAACTTGTGTTATTAACATGTTAAATGTCAAAGTGTTAGGTTCAACAAAAAGTTATTGACATGTGTGTTAAAAATTGTAGCTTACCTATATGTTCTAATATGTTAGAAACATAAATAACACACACAGGTTATTTGTGTTATTTACACGACGTGTTTTTTACACAACGTGTTTTTTACACAACGTGTTTTTAACACAATGAGTTTTTGACATTAAAACGTCAGAAATATATGTTGAACCGAAAAATTCAGGGTTTTCTGTAGTTGAAAAAATGCATATATGCCTTAAAACGGTTAAAAATAACAATTAAGATATCCTGTTCCCTTCGATTCGTTAATGTCCATTAAATTTAATTTAATTTGTGTTCAAAACAGTCTGTAAAAACCACGTCGTGTTAATAACACATTGGGTAAAAACACAAGTGTGTGCCAACAATTATTTTTCACATTTTAACACGTTTGTCAACAACTTTGCTCACACTGTAAAATACAATTTTACATGTTTTTAACATGTGTGTTAAATTCCGAAGCCTGCTCACAACTATATCCTCTTTTTCCAGAGGAAACATACCCAATGGCCAGGTGAACGAAGGCCAGGTGCTCGCCGAGTATCTGCCGCCGTTCCCGCCACGCGGCGTTGGCTACCAGCGCATGGTCTTTGTGCTCTACAAGCAGCAGGAGCGCCTGGATCTGAGCCAGTATCAGTTGGCCAAGGAGGACTTTAGCAACCTGGAGAAGCGCAGCTTCAGCACCTTGGACTTTTATCGCCAGCACCAGGAGCAACTGACGCCCGCGGGCCTGGCCTTTTATCAGACCAACTGGGACGAGTCGCTGACGCAGTTCTACCACGATGTTTTGAGTGAGTAATCCTCTAGTAGCTAAGCCTGTACTTATAACTCTATATCCTTTATAGAACGCAAGGAACCCGTCTACGAGTACGACTTCCCCAAGCCCTATTTGGCCGACCAGAAGTTCTTCCCGCTGAAGCAGCCCTTCAATCTGTACATGGACAAGCACCGCGACCAAAAGCAGCTGAATAAGGAGTACCTGGAGCGCAAGCTGGCCAAAACGCATCCCTTTGAAGGGCCGGAAAAGCCGCTGCGCTTTCCCAATGCCCATGCCATACGCGATGTGCCCTCCTGGCTGAAAACTGAGATTAGGAAGCAGCGTTTGGGCACTGGACGAGTGCAGGATTACTAGATTGTTGTTTAATAGTGGTTAACAAGTTTTGGTTTCTCTTTATTCACTGGAAGTACATGCCTCAAACGGGAAACTACCAACTACATGGTTATAGCCTAAATAAATATGGAGAATCGTGTGATGCGTTAACAATTGTCCGGAAGATAATCCTTGAATGTGCTAATTTAATTAGTTACCTACGCAATTACTTAATCGCTGTATTTTTGCTTTGCTTGCCTCGCATTTTTGGCACACTTGTATATTTTTTTCGTAATTAAGTACTCTTCTAAGTCTGCGCCTTGCCGTAGCTGCCCACTGGCGGCCTGTACATGGCCGGCAGAAAGGAGACCTGAGTGCGATTGAAGGCATACTTTCGCTTGCCGATGTTCTTGAGTACGTTGTCCATTCGGGTGCCCTCACTGAAAAGGAAGGAGAACCAATAGTTAACTATAAAATCTATATAATCCATATATGGGCAATTCTCTGGCGTAAAACTTGAAGAAAAACACATATTTCTATATGATTTTGCACTGATATTTGATTTTAGTTAGATGAATCCTTAACTAAGCTAAGTAATTTGAGTTATTTCCAGGACAATACCTATTATATGGACAAAAAAGTGGCTCTTAAACGGTTTTTGACGTTAAGGTTGCAGAAAAACCACTAAAAAATAAACCACTCAATATTTTGAATTCAAACCAAATACATTTTAAAGAAGAAAGAACAAGGAACACTTTAAAGTTAACTGCATTAAAATATTCCTTCACGTTTCGTTACAATCGAAAGTTAAGCAGCAAGTCAAAAAAGTCACTTCTATTGGTGTCGCGTGCGAAAGTCTTGGTTTTTTTTTATATAACTTAAAAATGAAAAATATCCCAAAGTCAGCCCTAGCACATATTTTAGTGCCAATCAAGACCTTTAATTTGAGCCTAGTGTCAAAAGAAAAGAAGTACTGGAAGATGTGTTTCTTTTACCAGAGAATTGCCCATATGTATAATCCAAACCCACCTCCTCATTGTGCTGAGTGCGTAGGGCACGTGCTTCGCGGGCAGCTGGAACTCGCGCACCAGGACGCGACATTGCTCCAGGGTCACCGCCATCCCAGTGCGATCCTTGGCGCTCTTGCACGAGGTGAACCGCAGGCCGTCCATCAGCCGACAGGCATCCTCCGCCAGATGCAGGATCTTCACATTCTTCGAGACATTTGCCCGCAGCTGCTGCTCCATGAAGCCCAGCAGCGACTGCAGCGACTCGCCGGCGTCCACGGAGCCGAGGCCCAGCTTGCGATAGCGCCCGAAGTACTGGCTGAGTCGCAAATAGTTGTCCCAGTTGGAGCGGTGCTGCTCCCGCGTCTGGCCGAGCGTCTCCGCGAAGCTGGCCTTCTCGTTGATGCCGATGTTGAAGAAGACGGGCGTGATCTTGAAGGCGATGGAGGTGCCGTTGCCGGGCAGCGAGTGCTCCGGCACGGGGAGCTGAACCTCGAGCGACTGACGGGATCCCGTGATCCTTGGCATGGGCGCCATGGCCGCCTCACCCTGCGCCCGCACCAACTGGAAGCTCACGGCCGACAGGTCCTCGATGGCGATGCACATGTCGCTCCACATGTCCGCCTCGTTCCCGTACAGCGTCAGCAGGCCCTCGAAGTAGGCCAGCGGCCCCAGGTCGCGCAGCATCACCAGGTAGCCCATGTCCAGCTCGCTGCCCCACAGACGCAGCATCAGGGAGCTCACCAGAGCGGTTAGCTGGAAAGATTCAGGGATTTTCTATTAGAAAGTGGTTACATAGGGTAGAAAGTGAATAGGATTCCTCCTCTGAATCCAAAAATAAGTGTAACTTTTTGGGTGCTTTAATTAGGAATTTCTCCCTGAATAATATAGTTAAAATTAATATCACTATTTTAAGGTTAAGATAAATAAGAACCCTCCTTAATTTAATGAAACTTGTATCTTATCTATAAAATTCTTAATTGCCACGCGAATTCTTAAGTCCCCTGCCCTATTCAAAACCTTTCTGTAAAACTTAACTGTTACATTGAAAGTATTTTAAATTTGCTAACCACTCAGTTAGGTAAAAAAGGTTACCTATTCAGGTGATATGCCTAAGAATTTATCTAATTCCTAACGACCCTGTAAAAAACCTCTTTAATTAAAAAATGTTAAAAATATTAATACGTAATGTCTAGTTAAATTTAAAGGAAATATCTTGGCAAAATATTATTTCTATTATTAATTATTAAATCCTGATTATTTTCACGCGAATTCTTCAGTACCTGTCTGATTATTTCATTTTAACCAATTACTGTAGTCATATAGAATTTTAAAAAAATTCAAAAAATTACAAAAAAAATGTGTTCTTTAAAACTACCCGAAAGTAAAGTGGATCGTTGGTTTAAGCTGAAAAAAATAATCAATCAAACAATCTTAACTGAGGCACTCTATCAAACAAAAACAACTTAATAAGGTAATAAAAACTTGTGACGAACCTACAAAAGTAGTGACGAAAAATGTACATTATTACATTTAACTAAATAAATAAAGGACCACTTACCGCCTGTGAGAAGCAGACGTCCCTGCGGTACATGATGCTCGCCTGCAGCCTGTTGCATCGCATGTCCTGCTGCAGCCGCTGGACGGAGTGCATCAGCCGGGCGGTCTTCAGCAGGCGGTCCATGGCGTGGCGCAGCTTGCGCATGCTGGGCCGCAGCTCCGCAGCCCAGTCAGTGGTCATCGAGAGGTCGAGGCCGTCGGTGAACTTGTTGCCCCTCTTCGCGGGCACCGATCCGCCTGGCTTGAGATCAAGATCGAGATTCGGTGGCTGCTTAACTGCCGTCGAGGGAGTGGCAATCACATCCGGCGCCTGTTGCGGAGCCACTGCGAATCCCTCGCGCTTAATAAGCGCCTTGGGATGACGCAGCCGGATGGCCGGACTGTCGCAGCGGCCGCAGAAGAACTTGAGCTTGCTGACCAGGCACATCACGCTCGCCTCGATGTTCAGCTGGGTGAGATCGAGGGGCTCCGGCTCCTCGGTGGGCCGGTAGTAGTTGGCCGACGGCGAGGAGCTCATCAGCTTGGTGTCCAGGAAGCCAGCGGATGGCTGAGGCTGTGGATGCTGTTTCTTTCGCCCAATCTCGTCCAGATCGATGAGCTGCAGCACGGCGGGAGGAGCAGCTGGCTGGGAATTCCAAGCCACAGGCAAGGATTGATATGTAGCCTCTGACTCATCCTCATCCTGCTCCTCCTGGTTAAGATCTCCGCCCCTCTCCAGGCTGCGCAGGTGATCGTTGTAGCACTTGACCACATGCTGCAGCGAATCGATGGCCCGGATGTCCAGCGAGCTGCAGGGAGAACTATTGCTCGGATGCCAGCTATTCGAGCGCATCAGCGGCGGCTGTCCGCGTGGCCAGAGATCCGGTGGCGCCACCACCGGCGTGGCAAAGTCCTCCAGCTCCGGTGACTTGAGTTCCAGTGCAGTTAGCTGCTGGGTGATCTTGCGGAACGGGGACATCGGCTCCATGAGCACGTTCTCCGGCTCCTCGATGATGCGATGCCGCTCGATGAAGGCCACCGCCTCCTCCACAATGCTGGGCTCCCAGATGTTGAGCAGGGTGCGTGTGCGGGCCACCATTTGGTTGCACAGCGGCATCATGTCCTTGGAGCTGCGCCGACTGGCCAGCTGGAGGAGCTGGGACATCAGCTCGACAATCTCCTTGCGCAGCTGCTTGGTGGCCTGCACGGCATCGTTGGCCGCCTGCACTTTACAGGCGTTGCTCTGCTCCAGCTTCCAGGATTTGCTCTCTTGGAGGAGTCTAAAAAGGATAGGAAGTATTAGAAATGTAGGATAACTAAGTAAGTGATTAACCCACTTGATGAGCCCGCCGCACTTGCGACCCTTGGCATCGTGGCGCGTGAAGGCGCCCACGGTGACCACGTCCAGAAGGCCACGTCGCTGGAGTGTGTCATTCTGGGCCCACATCCGCTGGACATGCAGATTCACAGGGAGAAACTCCAGGGATTCGTCCGCCTTCGCCGAAGATCGCTTGAAGTAAACGCCATCGCGGGCCAGCTGCTGGATATTCTGCTTGGCCTGCGAGTAATCCTTGAGCAGGCGCAGGTGCTCCTCGAGCAGGTTCATCTGCCGCCAGCGCCACTCGCCGCTCAGCTCGCCCATGCCGGAGATCTCCTGCAGCAGCTCCTTCTCGCGCTGGATCCAGATGGAGAGCAGCTGCTGGGGCAGCTGGCAGCACAGGCGCGACTCGAGCAGCGTCTCCTGGACGCTGATGTCCGCTCCGAGGGACGAGTGCAGCCGGTAGGTGCGCAGGCGGGGATTCGAGCACACGCGCTGCAGGCCGCACTGCTGGGGAACAAACAGACGGACGCCCAGCTTCGGCGGCAGCGACTGCGTGCGGCGATGGACTGAGGGATCGAATGAGAGGATGATAGGTTAGTCTGGAAATTATTGCAGTAAATTGAGATCATTATATATATTTAATAATAATATTAATGACTCAATCACATTACTTGTTTCCATGATTCAGATTAAACGCCCATTACTCATTTAATAAGTATTTATCATTTTGAATTAAGCAACGCTTCAGTTTCAGACTCATTCTGATTAAAGAAACTGAAGAATTCGCGGTTACTAGTTAGAATAATATTTATATTGTTTTATATGTTTTATATGCAGATGTTCACTTGTTTCTCAACTATGATTATTTTTATAAATCAATGTATTAGTATTAGTATTATTCTGAGTTAAGAACCTGAAGAATTCCCTTAAATTAATACCTATATTGCTATTTTAGCTCTTTCTGTATGTATATTTAACACAATGTTTTTAACTGGTACGAAATAATAATGGGAAATATTTAAAAAACTCCTATATCTTATCCATATTCTTTTGATTTGAAAAGCTAAAGAATTCACGAGTACTTATAACGACAATTGGAATAGTATCTAAATGATACGAAAAATATATTAAAATTATGTTTAAAAATAAATAATTAGTTAATTATCTTACTTTTTGATTTGAAAACTAAAGAATTCGCGGTATTTAAAGTATCTAATTCCGAAATAAATCCAAAATAATATGGAAATTGTATAAAAAATATCACAATTTTGACCCTAGACCAAAGCAGTACTCCTTCTCACCTCGTCTGCCACCTGTGGTGGCTCCTGGCCCTGTTCCTGCTCCTCCTCCTGCTCCAGATCCTTCGAAAAGCTGCGTGCTGGAGCGCGGCGGCCCGTTGCCCGTCGACTGGCCGGGCTCGACGGCGGCGTCGGGCGACCAGGAGGCCAGCGTGATGAAGCCGCACTCGCCGCGCGGCGAGGCGAGCGGCAGGCGCAGCCGGCTGGTGTCCTGGATGACGCCCAGGGCCACCTCGGCGTGGCCCAGCGGCAGGGCGGTGAGCGTCAGCCGCTCGCGGACGTCGAAGACGCTGAAGCGCAGCCGCGTGGCCGCCGAGAAGCCGGCGCTGCGCTGGAAGCGCATGGTGCACAGGAACTGGGGGCTGCGCGTCCGCTCCTGCAGCTCCGTGCGGGCGTGCTCCCGCCACAGCTGGCAATCCTCGCCAGCGGCCGGCAGCAGGGAGCACACCACCTGCGGATTGGGCGGCCGGCCCATCGTGTCCAGTGGCAAAGTGTCGCAGGAGAGCGCCGTCTCGCAGATGGGCAGCTCCGAGAGATCGAGTTCTGGAAGAGAGAGCGATTAGACCAGGTGATTCGGGGGGCAGAGCAAGGAAGCAGCTAACAAATAACAAACAACACTTAATTCCGTTTAAATTCATTAGCAAAACAAAGTTTATTCCAGGAATAAATTCATCCTTTTGTTTGGTTCCATCACATGGATTAGATTCACCTCCGTTTAAAAATAGATTAATAATATATATGGAATCAAATGGCCAAAAACCGGATGTTTGAGTGCATGGAAGTGAGCGAGAGGTCGCTAGATTGCAGATGGTGAGGATGTGGTGATTGGGTGGACATTTGGTTAACATAACTAAAAACAATAGCGATCTCCGCGCCTCCTGATTGTTGGGTTTGGTTTTTTGGTTTTTGGGTTAGAACTGTATAAGATCACCTTCAAACGGCGCCACCTGCTGCTCCATGGTCGCCGCTGGCTGCTCCGACTGCTCCGATTGCAGCTGCAGCTGCTCCTGGACCTGCTGCTCCAGCGGCATGCCCAAGTCAATGTGGTTGCCCATGCTGATGCCTCCTCCGCTTGACGGGCGGCTCTGGGCCACAATCTGATCCTTCAGCTGGCGTATCAGCTGGTTCAGCTGCTCGCTGGAGGCCTGCTCGATGCACTGCACCCAGGAGAGGCGCTCGGCCGACGAGCGGCTGATCAGGCGCTCCGACGAGCTGTCCTTGAAGTCTGCAAGGCAAGAGGTTATTAGTTTGGTTCGGTTTTAGAGCCCATCCACTTACCTAGATCGAAAACGTAGCCCTCGGGCTCCCGCTGCTCATTGTGGATGCGCGGACGACAGTTCTCCAGCACTAGGAGGCCCGCCACCGGCGACTTGGGGTCCTTGTCCTTGAGGTAGAACAGCAGATTGCCACGCAGTTTGCACCAACGCTCAACTCGAACTGTGGGCGGTGGAATAGGTAAGTACATGTATATTATATACTAGATTATATTACATTATATTATAGTATCATAATTATCATGAGTATCTTATGATATGGTATGATATTTATGATGTCTAGCATATGTATAATGCGTATAAGATGGTCCCTATATACCTATGCTTTAGTATTCATTTTGATATGAGAAGCTAAAGAATTCACGAGTACTTTTAACGACAATTGGATAAGGATCCAAAATGATATGAATAATATATTGAAAATATGAATAAAAATAAATAATTAGTTCATTTTCTTACTTTTTGATTGGAAAACTAAAGAATTCGCGGTATTTCAAGTATCTAATTCCGAAATATATCCAAAGTATTGAAATTATGTATAAATTTGAAAAATTGGTTAATTATCTAACTTTTTCATTAGAAAACTTAAGAATTCGCGGTATTTAAAGTGTTTAATTTTGAAATATATACGAAATAATATGGAAAGTATAAAAATTATCACAATTTTGACCCTAGACCGATTTTGTTGAATAGTTGAGAACTCCTTTGCTTCTATGATAGTTTCTATATGATATGTATGGTATGTATGATATTATTACATGATGATATTATGATATGTATGTTATGATATATTGAAACTATGATATTATGATATGTATTATAAGTATGATATGTCTAGCATATGTATCATAAGTATAATATGCATGACATGTATGATATTATTAAATGATAATATTATGATATGTATAATATTATTATTTTATATGATATGTACAATATGTATGATATGCATGATATGTATGGCATATAAAGATATAAGGATACCTTCGCTGGAGCGCCAGAGGAATCCCTCCTGGCGGTCGGTGATGATGAGCAGGCCCTCCTTGTCGAACCGCGTCGCTGGATTGCTGGCCAGGGAGTTCAGTTCGGGTTTGTTAAAGCGCATGGCTACTGTACATAAGGTATAAGATATAGGATATATATGGAATAAAGATAGTTATAATCGTAGAAAACCGTAGATGGAGAGGCACGTCCACATATCAATTATTTACGGTTATTACACACGTACATATGTGGGCGTGGTGCTCCACACACACACACACGGTTAGAGATACACACCTCCTCCTGCGCCTCCTCTCTTTGCTCTCCTTTTTTTGGTCCTGCGACCTCGTTACTTTGTTGTTGTTGCTGCTGCTGCTGCACAGCTGGCGGCGCTTCCCCGCCCCTCTCCACTCGCCAAGCAGCCTCTCTCATCCGTCGCTCCCCGCGGAGTCACTTGCTCCACTTGGCCAACCTTTTAGTGTGCCAATTACTAATAAATTATTTAATTATTCTAAAATTTGGCAACAAGATAAGAAACTGCCTGCGCTTCTGATTGGAAAATATAAACTCTGCAGTTTGGCAGCGCAGACAGTGTTGTCAAGCGCCGTTGGAAAACTAGAGATGGCACAGTCACTGGCGTGAGTCGTGAGTATCAAATGGAAATTTTTAGTTCTTTACAGTGGGAATTGAAAAATAATAATACTATTTAATAGCCTCAAGAACTTTACTTTTTGAAATGAAAAATGAATAAAAGATTTTTTAAAAATTAAGCTCTATTTCAAAGAGTATTCGATTCATATATATCAGAGTTTGGTAGAAAATTGAACCGGTGTATTTGTCATTAAACCATTTTTACATAGATTACATTTATCTTAATATTTTGTTTTAATACATTTTACAATACATTTTCGATTGTCGCCATCTAGCGGCACAACTTTTTTATTACTTCAAGCTCAGCTTGAAAGCTGCTATAAAATCAAAGCGCCAAACTGTGGCGCCCTCTAGGCAGCAAATAAATGGTACTGAACTATAATTTAAATGTTCACACTTTAAAGAATGTAAACAAACCGTTCTTTAATAAACGGCCCCCTAATTAAATTATGTGCTCGCCAAATACGTAAGTCTCTTTTTTAGTTCCTTTGGCTCCTTGTCCTCAATTTTTTTTTGTAATTTCCTCTGGACTTTTCTAGAACATTATTATCATCACATATATCTTTGTTAATAAATAAGTTGACTGCATTAATCTTTTTATAAATATTTATATTTGTTTTATATTTATACTTTATATTTATCTACTTGTACAGAATACTTGTGACGTAAAAGTTGACATAATAGTAATAATTTAAGTACATTTTATTTTAAAATTTTAATATTTGCTTCTTTTTTCTAATCAGTTTTTTGAACATTGGTCTAAAACAGCGCTCGGCACACACATCCGATGACATTTTGCTTTATATATGTGTAAGTAATTTGCACTGGGCAGTTCATCGATGTGTATGTGCAGACTGCTGTTCTACAGTGTCCGAGAGAGGCAGCGGATGAGCAGAGCAATTCCCTATGCTCACTTAATAGGACGCTGCCGACCGCTGGTCTAAAAGTATAAATAGGATTATATTGTTAGCTCTTCTCTCTTTTTCGTGCACAAATTTATAGTTAAGCGTTAGGCGGTCATAAAAACGCTGCTGGTGATGTAAAATTGTTCTATACTTTTTTTGGTAGGGGAACTTTTGGTGGGTTTAATCGCGGCAAACTGTCCAGATTGGTCCGCCTTCAAATTTGCCAGCAGCACACCATTTTCGAAAAGAATCAACGATGAAGAACTGGGCTGAAGTGAAGGAAATAAAAGCAACAGCTGCACTGAGAACAAATTTAACCAATTGTTGTAGGATAAACATTAATTTTGAATGTGGAACCCTTTTGTTTTGATTTTTAAAATATAAAAAACATTTTTGATTGTTTTTAGGAAAGGAACTACAATAAAAAAGTTATTTCGTTACCTAAATTAATTTTATTTTTGTTAAGTAAATAATTGGATTTTCGTTTTTTTTTAAATTTATTCATCAAAATTGAAATATTTTTACAGTGCACAGGGCAACAAGAACAATGATTGCCATTTATTCGGACTGACTGGTGGGCGGTGGTGGCGGTCAGGCGGTGGGCGTGGCAGGGTGAACGTTTTTCAAGTGTGGGAAGCGAACACTTTCGAGGCACGCACACACGCATAAATGTCGCTACTTTGCAACAAAGTGTGTGTTCGTGGTGGGCGTTAAGGGGGCGGGGTCCCTCTTAAATATTGGAAAATATTTCGACATGCAAACGCAAAGCATCCCATTAAAAATTTCTATTAAAATTTGTGGAAATTCAAGGGAAAATAATTATGTAATTAAAATATCCTTTGAAAAAATTGTCAATGTAAATGCAATTAATTTTTAATATGCCACTTTTTAGACGTAAATAAATCTAAAAAAATATTAAGAAGCTAGCTATGCATTTGAATAATTTTTTTTTACTTTTTTTTTAAATACAGGATATTACCAAGTCGACTATAGATAAATCTGAAAATTTGGACATATCTCTGGAATGACAGGCGCCAGACTGCGACGAAATTTAACTGGCTTTGGCACCTGCCGATAGTTAGATACCTGACTTCTAGGCCGTGGCATAATTGGTTGCCACAGGATGCAACTCAAAGATCCTGGCTGCTCTTGTCCATGTGCAGGACACAATGGCCACTCTTTGGCTTTGCGGCCCAGAAAAATGTTCATTAGGAGTTAAAGAGGATTGCGAGTAATAGGATTTCCTGGCCCAAAACAGGAATGCAAGAGTTGGGTTTTAAAGACTCTATTGTTAGCTAGTGAGTGTATTCAACCTGCAAATATTGGTATTATACTTGTATTGACATTGAAAAATTATTTTATTTATATCTTCGCGTCACCTCAAATAAGATATTTTTTCCAAGAAATCGCCTTTCGTTTTCACGACGGCTTTTCAATTTGTAATTCCAGCAAATTGCCGCTTTATTTCGGCTTTTCTCAGGCAATTACTTTATTTTGATTGGCCATTTAAGTTTGTCTAATTAAATTGTAAATTGCTTGGAAGTTCTCTTGTTGCTCTTCCCCTTATTACGGATATTTCTTATATTGATGGAACATTTAAGTAAGTTGAGGGGTCTGGTTTTTAGATACCGGGATTTCAGTTTTTGACAAAAATGGGAATTTTTCTTTTGGTTTTTTTGCTGTAACTTGGCCAAAAATGATCCTACACCAAAAATACATACTTTTCTGAAAAGATAACAAAATAATAAATAAATCAATTACACTTTCCGTGTTATGTTGATTCACAAAAAAAATTGAATTCAAGAACGACCTAATTTCGAAAGCGAGATTGTTTTACCTTGAAATCGAAACCGATTCGATATGGAAGCCGAGAAGGCTTCTTTTCCATATCGAAAATACCCATAGTAAAAAGTATTTTATATCTTTTTTAAGCTAGATATTTAACCCCTAAGAATTTGCTGCCCCACTGGGTCCTATCGTTTCTATTGTTGTTGTTGTTGAATCTGATGAATGGCGTTGTTGAATATTGTTGTTGAATATCGCTGTTGCTGGCTTTGCTGTTTGGTGCTTTTAACTGCTTAAATTGATACAATTAAGTGCCTTTCGGGGTTGTTTATTTATTCACATTCTTTATTATTTTTCGCTTTTCTTTTGTGGAACCCACCCACCTCTTGTGGCACTTTATTTATGTGCCTGGATAACAATAAGTGAAGTGTTTGCCCTTTGGGCAATGGTCTGTACAGATTTTCGACGCTTGCCTCGCTTTATTTTCGGATTTTTTTTTTGTATTTTCCTACTTTTTTCTCTGTTTGCCCAGCCTTAATGCTAATTGATTTATGCCGCCTCCGGGGTGGGCGTGCCGGGTTGGCATCAAAAATGAGGGTAGCCTTCCAGCCAGTGGGGGGAACTTGTCACATCGGGCCCAACAATCGAATCGAAATGAAGCGAATCGCGTGTCGAATTTCACACCAGGAAATCAAATCGAAATTGATACACTCCACAATGGCATGCTATAGAAGGATTGAGATGAGAGGGTTTATTTTCTGAGAGCTCATATTCATAATTTATAGAAAATGGGTAAAATAGTGTACAGAAAAAATAGAAAATAAAAATAAATCATACTGACAATAATAAATGATATACTAATACAAATTATTTTAATAGGCAATTTCATTATGTTAAATTTCTCTATAAAAAAAAGTATTAAAGATAATAATAAAAATTAAATAAATATATTTGGGGTTGCATAGAAAAGAATACAATTTATTTGAAAAGCATATATATATTTTTATTAGTGTATGCGTATAGCTTCGACAGCAAAACAACTATTATTTGAAATCATCGAATGTATTGACATCATTCCGTTTAGAATTTTTTCCAACATTTTATTCGCAGCCGCATTTCCGGTGAAAATTGGACTCATTACTCGAAAACTGTGGGAAAACAGATGAAAAAAACTATACATTTTTGCCAATTAAATATAAATAATAAGTAAATAAGCCCACAATTTTACGGAGAAATTTGCTAAAATATTTTGGCATTATAAATATATTAAATTCAGCCACAGAAAGTATTGGTAAAACGATGATTTTCTTGTTTTCTGTGTATTTTACTGGAGATACATTCTTACAAATTCGCAGAACATCATTATATGTTGTAGACTCTCAAAAAACGTAGATAGTAAGCCCACTGTGCGTATGCGTAATGCCTTGTGGCATCCTTGGTTGTGGGTCGTGTTCTCAATTCCTAATGGCCATCGCAACTGCCTAATTCTCTGTGCCTGCCAGCAGGTCCGCGCGTTGAATAGGCCGCTCTTTGGACGCTTTTGTTACATTTAACTAATGCATTGTGCCCACGCATAATGCCAGCATCCGAACGGACAGGACATCGGGGGACACGGGGACACAGGGACACTGGGATGTACGAACACAGACAGATGGGCACAGGAGCAGGGACAAATGGACGGACGGACAGCCATACGGACAGATATACATATGTATACGGACACGATGGGCGGCCGTTGTTGCACAGTGGGCACGAAAGGCTGGTTAATGGGTGCACAGAAAGAAA